TAAGACAATATGGCCGAGCGGTCTAAGGCGATAGACTAGAAATCTATTCTCTTCGGAGGCGTCGGTTCAAATCCGACTGTTGTCGTTTTTTGCTTGTTCCGGGTATCCGCAACGGTTTCTGGTGAACAATCGTTTTCATAGATCTTTTTTTTGTTGGCAAGGCTTTTTGTTGTGCTTCTGTGCCACTGCAGGGGCGACTCATCGCACGCATGAACTGGTGGTTTGCGTAGTTCCAATGGATCTTTAAAGTATCCAGGCGATTGCTATATTTATGTATGGGGCTTACTCTATACCCCTCGAGGATGCTACGGACGTGACAGTCCAAGGTTGCTCCAGTCTAGTAAAGGAGTATGTTTCATGTCCAGTCTTATTCACAGGCAAAACAAACCAAGAACCAACTTTGTACACATGCACCGGGTCCAATGTACACCCGCCGGGCCAGCCAGCCAGCCACCTGACCATCCAAAGCATCACGACAGATAAACAGACACAAACAAAACCATCAACAGTAACGGCTAGACAATATGCTAACAAACAAACTCATCAAATGTTATGTCAGATGTAATCATGCAAAGGTCGGGTATAGCGCCTCGCTCAACGCAGAAATCAGAAGCAGGCACTTTTAGACATATCATCCAATCAAAAAAGAACAGAACGTCCCCTACACTCGCCCAACAGCGTTCGCCGCCTGCTGCAACACCCGCGGCCACCGCGAAATCAACTCCACATCGTCCAACGCCCCCTTGCCCTGGTTGCGCACGTATTGGGTGCTGGGGTCAATGCGCGGCTCGTAGTCCCAGAACGATGGCACACCCTTGATCAAGGCGGAGTACACCAGTCGGCGACGGCGCTGGGAGCGGAGGACGTCCTCGCGGATCTGCTCCAGGTTCCAGCGCGTGTGCACTTCCTCGACAAAGTGTGCCAGGAGCGTGGCGGGGTCGCTGGTCTGCGGCAACACCGAAGCGTGCTTGGAGGGGCTTGGGGTGCGTGGCGGGGTCGGGAAGGGGAAGGATGAGGTGCCGTCAGGGCCACGCGAGACGCGCGGGAAGTCATTCGGGGTGGGCAAGCCTGTCGCCTTGCCGTTGACACCAACTAGCTTAGATGGATCAGGCAGGCCCGCAACCAGATTGACGCGCTCCTCCGGGTCGGCGACCACGTCGAACAGCATCGGCGGGTCGATCAGTGAGTAGACGAACTTCCACTGTCCGCGACGAATCATGACAGTCGGCGACTGAGTGCCCTCTGCCATGTACTCGCCCAACACGGTATCGGTCTTGACGCCGTCCCCGCCCGTCAAGTATGGCAGCAGCGAGACGCCGTCCAACGGCAACCCAGGAACCAAGGGCGCGCCCACCAAGTCCGCAAACGTCGGGAGCAGATCCATCGTCGACACGTTCTCCGACACCCGCTTAGCCGCGAAGCGCTTGGGCGCATGCATGATCATAGGCACACGTGCCGACCCCTCGTACCACGTCATCTTGTACCACAAGCCACGCTCGCCCAACATATCGCCGTGATCGCCCGTAAACACCACGATGGTGTCGTCGCGCAAACCGCAGTTGTCGAGCACCTTCAGGAGCTTGCCCACATTGGTGTCCACATAGGTGCAGGCGGCATAGTACGCGCGGCGCGCGGCCTTGATGCGCTCCTCCGGCATTTCCTTGCCCCACAGGTCGATGCACTTGAGCACCCGCTGGGAGTGGGGGTCCTGCTGATCGTGGGGAATCGCGCCGTGCTTGGGCAGGGGAATGTCGACATCCTCATACAAGTCCCAGTATTCTTTGGTCATGGCATAGGGGTCATGCGGATGGGTCATCGACACGGTCAAACAGAAAGGCTGGTCGCCGCGCTGGCGCACATGATCGTAGAGGTACTGGGTCGACTTGTACATCACCTCCTCGTCGAAGTCGAGCTGATTCGTGCGAACGACGGGGCCCGCCTCCATGACGGACGACATGTTGTGGTACCAGTCGGGACGGATATCCTATTTGGGTCAATATTTCCTCGCTCTCGGACCTCAATTCCAGAAGACTCACGGGTTCGTCCCAATTGACGGACCAGCCATAATCGCCAGGGTAGATGTCGCTAGTCAAGCGCTGTTCGTATCCGTGCAGCTGATCGGGGCCACAGAAGTGCATCTTACCCGCCAATGCAGTGTGATACCCCTCGCGGCGCAGGTAGTGGGCGTAGGTTGGGACATCGGCGGGCAGGTCGGAGGCGTTGTCGTACGCACCGATTTTGGACGGGAGTTGGCCGGTCACCATGACGAAACGGGAGGGCGCGCAGAGCGGCGCATTGCAGTAGGCGGAATCAAACACCACTCCTTCTTCGGCCAGCTGGTTCAGATGGGGGGTTTTGATAGGGGAGTCCTTATCATGGAAGGCCAGCAGCGGGGCGGCCATCTGGTCGGCCATGATGTAAAGGATGTTGGGCCTTTTGGCAGCCATGGCGATAAGCAACTCTCTCTGGTGACGGGGGGTAATTGTGGATGTGTCTAGACTAGAATGGCTTGTGGATAGCTGCTGTAGAAGGGACAGTTGTTTTCGACAAGTCGGTCTTGAGTGATAGTGCTGGAAGAAGGCAGAGTGACGAGGCAAGAGGGAGTGGGAAGGGAGGAAGTTTAAAAAAGGTGGAAGAGACTGGATTATAAGTAACGGTGACCGGACAGTGACTGGCTTCAAGTGGAGACTGACCACTGCAGCAATGAACGAGTCCCAATGCCTGTTTCAGAATATGAAGAGGGATGGGAGTAGAATAGGAGGGAAAAGAGGAAAAATGCAGGAGAAAAAGAAAGGTTAAAAAAAAGATGGCGGCAGAATCGGGCTGGCTCGTCACTCGGCCTCGCTCGTCAATTCTCCATGTCACTCACTATAACAATGGAACCATCGGCGGGGACGATGGTGTGATTGCGGGAGGATCCATGGATAGCCGCCAAGGGGGCAGCAGCACACCAGCTTGAGGATTGCTGATCATCAGGCGGGTGCAGTGAAGAGGAAACTCAATAGTGTGGTGAAGCAGAAGGCAGAAGGCAGAACCTCGCAGTGACGAGGACAATCTTGCAGATTGAAGCGGACCGACTGCTGCATGCGGGCTGGTCTATCAAAGTCCACTACGGATACTCACTATCGACTATCAACCGGGATCAACGGTGACGGCCAGTCCAGTTGTTTTTGATGATTTGCCACGCGAGGCCCTCAATCTCCAGTGGTGGCGGTGCTCACGTGCTGGCCGGATTGGCTTCTCCTTTGACCTGACTCCTGACTCGATCTGTGTTTCATTATTACTCATTACCACACAAACACTTGTAAAAGATCCAATTGATTGACTGGTTTTTGTCTTTGATAAGAAAAGATAGCCTACCCCGGGGGGATGGATTGTTGTTGACCGCCCATCGCTTAGGGTGAATTTCCCCAATTTAGGATTCGCCGGACTCGCACCGGGCCCGATCTTGGCCCACTTGGCACTTTTCTTCATTGAGTGTTGATTGGAGATTGATTCCATCCCCGGATCCGCTGTGGTCACGAGGCTGCCGACGAGGCCGGGGCTGTCGGCAATCGCTTCTCGCTGTCTCAACCATTGTCTCACCCATTTGATTGCTCTTGATTGCTCATGGCTGAGGGTAACGGTGATCGGTCCGATATCATTAAGAGGGTGTACGCGTCTACTTCAAATGACACAGAGGATTTTCTAGATCCGCTTCAGATGGTCATATCGAGTAGCAGGATCCGGTGGCCAGCCGTCGGAGATAACCTGAGACAAGTACGGAGTACGGAGTACGTAGTCCAGAATCTGGCAGACTGGGCTTATCAGAAACGCAGGCCACGACGCAGCGATCGCCTTCCAATCTTGCGTCCAATGACACGACCAGGAATCGTCGTCACACAGGGGCTCTTCGCATTTCTAATCGCGATATCACGCGCCACTTCTCAACCCAGTCATCTGAGTTGTCAGACGGGATTCTAACAATTCATTAGTAGTTCTCAACTGATTTCAAAGCATAACCCCCAACTTCCCCATAATCACTTCATCCTACGTGCAGTCCTTCCTCATTACTCATAACATGTCCGCAGCCAGCAACCAGATCGCCGCAAACCCACGGATCCAACCTCTCCCTCAAACCAAGCTGCGGCGATCCAAAACCCAAACCCACGCAGACTGACGTACGTATGGCATAGTAGCTATCCACTCCACCTAGCTTCAAGATTTTACCTTTTACTTTCGAAATAGGTACCTACCGCAATCTGCACCTCCACCGCGAATCACACAGCCCGATTCTCATGTGTTGTCGGAGTTAAGCGCATTTGCCAACCCTGCGGCTCGATGGCATCATCCGCAACCTATCAGCGCCCTCAGTTGCCGCGGCTTTTCGTCGTCAGCTGGGGTCGAGCCTACCCCGGACGATCCATGATCCCCCTGAAGATCCCCTTTCCTTGGTGCTTGGGTTCTGGAAGGGGTTTAGAAGCCGCGTCTCGGACGTACGGTACGGAGTAGCTTGGAGCCGCACGCAGCATGGCTTGTTCTGGCGTGGACGGGGATGGGGCGTGGCGTGTCTAGTCGCCGTGTCTGACAGCTCTCGGCGGGGAGGACTTCGGCTGAAATGTCCGCGTGTCAGATCTTCTCAGGTTGCAGAGTTCAGCATTGGGATCATACGAGGTTGGAACCCGGGCGCTTCTTCTCTGATGGTGGGCTGGAGCGTGAGTGCTATGGCGGCTCCAACGTCATCGGATGGCATCCTGCGAGCACGCCATCGCCGGGTTAGTCATCCACGGTCGATTGCGGTAGGTAGCATTTTTGGCGTATGCTGTTCTGGTCTTCACCTACGTAAGAGTACGTAGTCCGAGTAATAAGTATTTTCATTCGTTGTTTGAAGATCTGCGCTATCGCTGAGCGGATTGTGTCGGTATTGCTGGTAGGATTCATGTACATAGTAGTATAGAACAAGATACCCGCACCAGACGGTTGAGTCACAACCCGATGATTGCATCGCCAAGTACAATAACATAGTATGTTAACCCCAGCTTTAGAAAGGTCTCATTCTGCTAAGTATTTATCACCTACACCCGTTTCTCATTCATTCTCAAGCCAGCCAGACAACAAGCCTACCCCTCAAAACCGTACTCCAGCGTGACTTCTTTCCTACCACTGCACACACCCCAGCATATCTCAACATCCCCCAAACAACCTGACCAGATCCAATTAGCCCTACACCATACTATCCATACATCAAATCAAAATCATAACCCATAGCCTATAAGGCCCCATGACCATCAAACTACATGATATGTACAAATCCGCTCCCTCCAATCCCACCATCCATCACCCAAAGCCCTAACCCAAGAACAAAACACCCACCTACCTACCTAGTCTCAACCCTACCCACCTAGAACCCGTGACGTGACGGCCACCAGCATAGCCCCATCCAACCTGAACCACCCCAGCCCCTAACTAAGCCTTTACCCTGTCCATCTCCCCCATCGTCTCTCCTCTAGGCACAGACTCCACGACCGTCTCCGCCTCACTCAAAACAGACCCAGCATCATCCTCCTCCTCCTTTGTTTCTTTGCCATTCAAACCACCATCAGCAGCAGCAGTTTTCGTGGCCCGCCGATCCCGAACCTTCTGCACCTGCCGATTGACGAACCGCCACGCCTCGGCCGCGAGCTCGAGGTCCGTCCGGGGCCGGGGACGGGGGGTATCGCTGCCTGATTCTGATGCGGCCGGGGGCCGGGGGAGGAAGGCGGCGGAGGTCATTTCTTTTCTCGCTTGTTTCCCGGGCGAGAGGAAAGTTGGTGCTTGGATGGTGATGGGCGTGGGGTGTATGGATAGAAGATGGTAGAGGAGGGGTGGAGGTGCTGAAGGTAAGTACCTCTTTTGAGGTCTTTATAAGAAAGTATCGACTAAAACAAATTGAGGATCCTCTCGATGCGAGGGTGATGTGGTTTGGATTGTATGATTTGAGACCCGGAACGTCGGAGGTAGCTTTTCCTCGGGAGTCGGTTGTGTTGTATAAGGTCCCCCAGCTGGAGATGGAGGTGGAATGTCTTGGAAGAAGTAGGAAATGCGAAGCAGTAAATGATGGGGCCAGGGCTTAGCACTGGATGAGCCAGAGCTTCAGAGATCTATGCGATGCCCTTATATAGTCTATCTACAGTACAGACTGTACGCAAAGCAAGCAAACACAAACAAACACCCCCAAACCTAGTAGACTTCAGCCTAAGTCCACGTCCAAGTCGGAGTTTGAGTCTGAGTGAGTCACAAAGCTTAGGAATCAACCGGTGCCTAAGCCACAGAAGAAGAGGTTATAATCAGATGCAGTACCGGAGAGAGCCGTGTCGGGTTCCAGATTGGGGTAAGGGAAGCGGTGCGCTACTGCACGGCACGGTTGGGATGTTTACGTGGTGAGGCTGCCTGGACTCGGGGAATCCACTTGGAAGTATTTACCAGTTCCCTCTAGCGGGGCTCGAGCCTATGGTTGTTTTTGCCAGCCATTAAGTGGCTTTTTCTTCCCTTGATGTGATTTGTCTGTTCTGTGAACTTGGGTAGACTTTTAAACATAGGGTAGGCCCATGTGATACTGTCGTGATTCTGTGATTGTATGGTTCTAAGGAGAGACTAGTTCTTAATATGACCTTTATGGGTGCATCATCGAAGCATGGCCTCTTGATTCGAACCATGTCAAACAACCTACGCTTCTCAGACCTGAATTCACAGAATGAGATAAATTCGCTAAAGACAGAGTATATATATCTAAGTTGACACGCTAAATGGCCACAGGCCATGCAATGAACGCTGTCAACTGACAGACTGCACTTCCCCTGCAAGGTTAGAGGCACGAGTGCATTGAGTTGAAGAAAGTTCAGCCGAGATTGGAGAATGCAAGCACTCGACCAAACTCCCCACGATGTCCGTCTCGAATGGCAGTAGTCGCCTAATCGACTTTGATTGCACTGTTGATGGTCAGATCACACCAAAACACACAAAGCAGATAGCTCACCTGTAGATCCGTCGGATGAATGCATACGCCGTCAGGAACCCAACAGTCCCAGTCAAGAGACCGTACACGGTACAGGCAAGGAAGCTGTAGCTGAAGAAAAGAAGACTAGACACGAAGCCTGTGATGTGAAGGTGAAAGTAATAGTACCAGATGCAATACCCGAACACCCAGAAGGCACTGCTGCCACCGGTAAGGAAGCTCTGCCACCACCAGTGGTAGTTCTACTCCCGTTAGCGACAATCCATCTCACTATCCGCAAGCGAGCAACTTACTTCGGCACAAAGCTGACTGTAGGTGGCAATGATCGTCACCTCGCTGATCGTGACCATCAGGATCGTCGACACGGCACTAAGGAATCCAAACACATAGTAGTATCCGCTCTTGTCTTGCCACAAGCTCCGGAACACAAAAAGAAGCTCAATAAACAGAACAGCAAACGGACCCAGTCCAGTCAGAAGAGTTCCACTGATGCTGTGCAAATACCAACGCTGGGGCGGGATTTGGCGAGCAATGGAGGTGGTTTTGGTAGGATGCTCCCAAGCTGTGGTGCGGACATAGCCATACCAACTGCCAACGTAGACCAACGGGACCTGGATCAAGAGCCAAAGAGCAAGAAGACCAACCAGAGTGCCGAACGGAATCGCGGTACTCGAGGCCTGGGCCCAGACGAAAAGATTGAGGATGAAGATCAGGCAAAAGACCAAACCAGGGAAGAACAGGGCGGTCTGGATGTATTAGTAACAGCACAGCCATTGCGACGCAAAAGACTCACAATCAGCGTATTCTTCCGCCAATGAACGCCCCCAAATGTCTTGTAAAGTCTGCCCGAGAAGTAGCCCGAGAACAAACCAGCAAAGACAAACAAGCCCATGCCAACACTGACAAATCCACCGCGGAAGCTAGGATTCAGCACGCCAAGGCAGCTGAGGAACAAGAGTCCCGAAACCATGAACAACAACTGCATGCCGGAGCCGATAAGGGGTGCCAGCAGTCCGCTGAATTGAGGCGTCCGGAATACGTCGCCATGAAGCAGTTTCCACCCGCTGACGTCTTCCAGACCTTCATCGTCAGACCCATCCGCATCCCGCTCGACATCCGTGCTCTGCTCCAGAAGCCCGTCACCTTTCCTCTCCGAAGCTCTGGATTTTACCTTGAGCTTTCCATCCTCTAAAGCCCCATCTCCGCGACCCTTGATGTCGCCCTGCACAGTCCGACTCCAGATGACATAAACAGCGACTCCGAGGACACCGGAGATAATCAGAGAGTTGAGAATAGCGAGCCAGTGGGTTGCAGAACCCTCCTCTTGGTTGGTAAAGTAAAGGTCCCACCGGTTCCACCAGTCAACCCCGTTCTCTTCCTTGAAGTAGACCGAGTAGGTGTACGGAATCTTGAGGGTAGCGCCATCATCGATCTCGTCGTCGTCTTCGGGGATGTATGACGATCCCGGGTACATTTCGCGCAGTTTCGAAGTATTCGGCGGGATGTACAGCTCCAGCCCATCATGCGCCTCATGAACCTGCTTGGGGCAGCCGTTCTGCGTGTGATCTTCCGCGCGAATACTCTTCGGGTGAATCTCAAAGCCGACAATGACCTTGCCACCTTCCGGTGCCGACCGCCAGCGGATGACAATAGTGAAATGATTGTAGATATAGTATCGCAGCTTGCCGTCGATGTTCGAGTATTCCTGGAAGCCGAGCTTGAAGCCGGTAGCATAATACTTGCGACTTCCGTCAACCGTCACAAAGCTCGTTGCGCCAGGCAGGTTATCCGCGATCCACTCGGCCACGTATCCCTCCTTGATCAGTTGACGAGTCCATTTGATATCCTTGCGCCCGATCTCTTGTTCGCAGAGCACCCGACAGTCGACGTTCTGGCCCATCTGCAATTCGAAATCAGATGTCATGATACGGTCGCCGCGAAGGATCTCTCCTAGGTTGAGAGACACGCTTTGTCCCGAGCCGAACGGGGATCCGCCGTGGGTTCGGCCGCTGGGAGGGCAGACAAAAGGCAAGTCGAAGTACGCATACTGAAGCTGAGTGTTGTCGGAGAAAATCTTGTTCACGAGGAGAGGGATGTGTTCATCGTCGTTGTAGCGTTTGACAGAATATCCTAAGAAAAAGACCGATGGGTCAGCGATAAGAAGGACGGTTGTCGCAAGAAAAGTGATGCCGACCTACCAGGGATGTAGAATGCGTAGGTACACGAAGCGAACAACAGCCACAAGGCCCATTGACGAGGGCGCCAAAACTGTCGAAGCTCCATGATTCAATTAGGAAGAGAAGGAGATCAGCCACTCTACCAGAGATTGAGGCACGACAGCGCAAGCATGCACCAGCAGTTTGCGAATGATTGATAAGTCGTACGTGGCGGATACGAGATCGAGGGGGTGCAAGTAGATCAGCGTTCTGTCAACTGACCGCCCGATCTTTATCGGTCCGAAGTCAATTCGAGCGATAAAACAATTAAGATTCGATATAGAAGGGGAAGGAGATTCAAAGAAGAAACATAATCGAGTAAGGAAAGGAAAAGACAGCCAGGGATGGATGTAGTCGAACCACGATTTAAGAGAAAGAAGAGGGGGGAACTTGGGACAGCCCGACGGTCGACGAACGGAGATCCAGCGGTTCAGATTGCGACGGGAGAGGCCAAACCTGGGGTTGACAACTCAATGCAGCCAAGAAGGGAACGAATGGAATCGGCATCAAATGCCAGAGAGAGAACAGGGGCGAGGTGCGAAGTGAGACAAGAAACCAGGAAGGTCAGTGTGGTTGGTGCAGTTGGTGCAGTTGGAGTCTTAGACACTTAGACAGTTCCAAGGTGCAGGAAAAAGGAATTAAGGTCGGGGAGCGGGAAGAGTTGAAGGTCGATCGATCAACTCCCAGTGAAGCTTGTGTTTCACTTTCAGCTTCGGGTTTAGTCTAGGCTAGTCGCTTGCCATTTCCGGAGAAACATTCAACCATCCATCACCCTTACAAGTCTACAACTGCGACAACTCATACAACTCCTACACTGCTCTTGTTCCTGCTATAAGCAAATGACCACTTCACAATGGTGCCAAATCTGTTGATCTCCTTGAATACACATCCATAGCTGTCCACAAGCCCAATTCTCAGATCTACCTAGTCAACAAGCTTGATGCACACCTTGCCAACGTGCGACCCGGATGCCATGTACTCGTACGCCTTAACAACCTCTTCCTGAGTGAACCGAAACTCCTTCTCCACAGGCAGACGAAGTCCCTTCTGAGCCACAAACCGAACGACCTCCTCCAGAAGCTGCGTCGAGCCAACCGTGATGCCGCGCACAACCGCACCCTTCGCTAGTGCCAAGCTCGCAACATCCGGCATCTCGGACTGCTTGGCCTGCGAGAGGAAGCCGATAACCGAGATATTTCCACCCATCTTCACGGAGTTCAAGCTCTCCGCGATCGTACCGGAGCCACCGTTCTCCAGGATGTAGTCCACTCCCTTCCCGTTGGTGAGCCGCAGCACTTCCTGGGACCACTCGGGGTGCGTTGCGTAGTTGATGCCGTGGTCGGCGCCGAACTTCGACTTGACCATCTCGAGCTTCTCGTCACTGGAGGACGTGATGATCGTCGTCGCGCCCGCCGCTTTGGCTAGAATCACGCCGGTGATGGAGACACCTCCCGTACCTTTTATCGACGAGCCCAGCGGAGTCAGCTTTACACTTGCGAGTTGTAAAAAAAAGTGTGTTCAAAACATACCCAGACACAAAACCGTCTGACCCGGCCGGAGCGGCATGTTGCCGTAGAGGGCATTCCACACCGTCACCCCGGTACACACCAGGGTCGACCACTCGGAGAAGCTCTGGGGCGCGTCTTTGGGCAGCTTGACCACCGACGCCGCGGGGACGCTGATGTACTCGCGCAGCACGCCGTCGATCGGCGCCCCCTGGCCGCCCTCCCAGTTCGCCTGCTGGCCGTACAGGTTGGCCAGGTCGAAGGTGACGACGACCCGATCCTCCGCGGCGAGCTTCTGGACCCCGTCGCCCACGCGGACGACCACCCCGGCGGCGTCGGAGCACGGCACCACGCGGTCCTTCACGGGGAACGGGTACTGCGAGGTCGCCACCGCGATGTCGCGGAAGTTCAGCGAGACGCTGTGCACCCGGATCAGGACCTCGTGCTTCGAGGGCACCGGGATGGGTTCCTCGAAGGCCTTGAGGTTCCGGACGGAGGTCCGTTCGCCGTCGAGGCGGATGACTGTTTGAGACATTGGTGCTGATTACTTGAGGGAGGTTTTTGGCCTTGGAGAGGGGGATTTAAAGAGGTTGCTTGAGTTTCTTCGAATGGGATGGTTTCCAGCTCAGATAGCGCAGGCATCGTGGCAGCTTATATAGCTTATGGCAGTGTGGTAAGCTGCCATGAATCGGTAGCTTCGTGATGATTAATTGCCATGTCACAGTTGTGATGAGGAGACTTGGTGCAGTGTATACGTATACAATTCATCCACGGATGGAACTCCTACAGTCCTAGGTATCCGACCCACTTCTCCAAATCTCCAAACTCAATCTCCAAAAGTGGATCTTCCACTGCGAGACATTACGACTCAGTAGTAACATTACTGGAATGTTTTGCTACAAGTCCTGTTTGTTTGCCTTATGCGGATGCCGCTGCTTTTATAAGAGCAGTATATAACTACTTATTCTGTACTTCTATATACTTACTAATCTTTTACTAAGTATATACCAAGTACTCCGACCGCTCCCGGATTACATTAGAGAACTTACTGAGTAATTACAGATTTTTAAAGCAGCTTTTAGTTTAACTAAAATTAGATTTTATATAACTAGCACCAGGCCTCTAAACTGTATATAAGCTAAAACCCAAAAATATAAAATAACAACCTATTACTTTTATATAGATACTATAAAAAAAAGAACCTGATAATTTTATTTAACTATAATTTAATATAGACAATTATTTTTTTTTAGTTTATATTGTGCAGAAATAGGAAAAAGCTGTTAGTAATAGTCTAATATTTATCTACTCTACTTTACTTAATAATATAAATATAGACTTTTTGCCGGTATGCTTCCAGTTTTTTTATTATTAATTTATATATAAATTCTTTTTTATTTTTTAAGTTTTATTTTTATAATTCTAATTTTTTTAAATTTATAGTATACGCAATAACTGTATACTCTGCTGTATAGAAAGTATTCTAGGCTGAAAAAAAAAGCCTACTATAAGCTTTATTAATAATAAGATTACAACACCAGTACTTATATTTAAAAAAATACAGAAAAGACCAGAGGTAGAGTATCAGCTAAAATAAAAGTAAATTATAAGCAGAAAGTATACAGATATAAAAAATAAGTTTATATATTTTTAAATATAAAGCCTATATTAATACTGCCGACTAGGTTTTTTATTAACTAAAAAAATATACTTAAAAAATACAGGATTAGAGAAGACTACCTAGTTTTTATTTTATAAAATTTTAAAATCTTTATTTGTTAGCTTATTATATCTACAAAGGATAAAATTACTTTTAATAAATAATCTACTATATATATAATCTTAATCTGCATATAAAAGTTTATTTTAGACTTTTTTTTTAAAACTAGAAATAAGATTTCTAATCAGAACTAAAAGGATTTCTACTATATAAGTACTAGATTCTGCTTCTATAATAATTCTACTAACAGTATAGTAGATTAAGTATAATCTAATTAAAAAAAATCTCCTCTTAACTATTAGAAATCTAAAGTTTAATTTTAAATTAGAAGATTTTAAGTATATTATAACTACTCTCTGGTCTACAGATAACCCCTTTTTTATATTCAGATAATATTATATTTAATTTTATTTTATTATTTTTTAATTTTTTTATACTAGCACCTGAGTATTTTTCTTTATATCTTTTTTAGTAGAAAGGAAGGGCAAGGGGCTTTGTTATAAAATAAGTTTCTAGCAATCCTTTATACTTAATTTTAGCTTTTTTAATATAAAAAAAAATATTTAGCTTATATTATTTTATACTTATAATATTCTATAGTAAGTCGGATAGTAAATTAATTAACAATTTATTAAAAATAATAAAAACTCTAAAAATATAATATAAGCAGCTGGTTTATACTTTTAATTTATATTTAATAATAAAAGGTTTGGTACTATACTTTAAAAATATAATAAATCTATATACTTAGAAGTCTTATATTTTATAGCTCTAGCCCTTGCAGATAATATTTTTTTTAGCTTTTTTATACTAAAAAAATTTTTTAAGCAGAGAATCCTAGAAGAACAGAATAAGTTAGTTTTTTAATAAAATAATAAGGCTAGAAACTAATATATTATTTAAGCCGCAACTACTAAAGAAGTTAGTAAAAACCTATTAACTAAAAAAAGCTATTAAACTAATTTTAAAAGAATTATAACTGCTATATATTATTATATTACTATTACAGTTTATATAATATACTATACCTTAGGTGCAGCTGTTAAAAATTAGTTATTTTTATTATTTTTTTTAATTTAAATCTATATTTTACTGTTTTACTTATAGCTTAAATAAAAAAGTACTTTTTAATATATACTACCCAGATTTTAATACAGAAATCTACAGCTGTTTTTAGAAATAATTATCTTGCCAACTATTTTAGTATAGATGCTACTAATACTGTTAGACAAAAGCCTATTAAATATACTTATATAAAATATTTTTAAAATTTTAGTTAGTTTTATAAGGCTGGTCTTTTATATTAACTACTATTTAAAAAAAAGCAGAGTATTAAGGCAGATCTATACCTATAAGCTAAAATAAAAAAGCTTTATAATATATTAAATAATAAAAAGTCTAAATATATATATAAAAAATATATAATATTATAAAAAGAGATTTACTTTAAAAAACTGTAATAATACTAGAGTAAATAGGTTTAAAGTTAATATAATTAAAAAATTTTAACCAGAAGTTGTAAGTAGCCTAACCAGAAATAATAGATTATAGAAAAACAAGTACTGTATAAGCTTATATCTAAATTAAACTATTTAGCAGCAGTTATTTTATTTAATATATTTTTTTTATTTAATAAAAAAGCCAGTATAGTAAAAGATCTTTATATCTAATATCTTTGCAACTTTACTGTAGTCTATTATTTAAAAAAAAACCTATTTATAGCTGCTGTCCAGTAGTTAATTGCAGTATATTATTAAAGTTGTAAATTATCTATACTAATTATTTTAAATAACTACTAATACTTTATAGCAAGTTAAGATCTGGGTATAATTTATATATTTATAGTTGTTTATAATAAGAATATATCTATAGCACAGTAATTCTGCTTTAATAAATTAAATATTATTAAAAATATTTTATTTTTTATAATAAAAAAAGCAGTAAATTTAAAAAGTACTATATAAATTATTTTTTTTAATAACCAGTTAGTACTATAAAATAATAGTATATTATAATACCACCATCTGTACTGGGTACTGTATTAAATATATATAGAATAATTAATATTTTATAGCCTATTAAATAAGGGCCTATAAACAGAGTAGTAAGCTGTAAGAGTATTTAAAAGTATATATTAGTATTAGATTATAGCCCTTAGAATATACTAATTTTTTCTACTACTATATTTTTATAGAAGAGTAAGACTATTGCCGACACCTTTATAATATATACTATTATTATAAGACTATTTATATACTAATAAAAACTATACTTAAAAAACAGTTATTATCTGTATTAGATAATAAGATATATCTGTACTAAAATCAGCTTATATAAAATAAAAAGTTATCTAAGTACTATAAAAAGCTTTTTATAAAGTTACTACAGGGTATAAAAAAGTTAAAGATTGTTTTTTAAAACCCTTATACTATATATCTAAAATCTATTTTAGTTTATAAGAAACTGTAAATTTTTATATATTAGGCTGAGAACTATAACTATAAGGGCTAAAGGGTGAAATAGTGTAATAAATAAATAGCTTTTGCAAAGCCAAGGGTACTAATATATTACTTTAAGATATTATTACTGCCTTATTTAATTTATAAGGTAGCTGCTGTTTTTAGAAACAGCTGCAGCCAGCTTACTTAGCTGTTATATAACTGCTGCCTTAAATTATTTATATATATTTTTTTTATAGATATCTGTAAAGATTAGAAGAGCTATTTAAATTTTTATAACTACTTTTTTTTTTTTATAAAAAAGTATTGCCTTTTGCAGTAGTACTATTAAAACCTCTACTTTATAAATATTTTTATAAAAAATTAGAGTAGTAGAAAAAATAGTTTACTATTTTATATTTTTATAAAGATATACTATACTATTTTTACTACTATTTTTATAAGATTTTTTTACTAGTATATAGTCTACTATCTATCGGCTAGTTTTTTTATAATAGTCTATAAATAGCCTCCCCTATAATTAAAAAGACTTTTTTCTAGTAAATAGTATTAAATTTTTTTTAATTTATTTATTTTAGTTATTTAAAATATTTTACAGTTAAGGCTAGCAGAGCTAATTTTATAAAAATAAAATTTTTTTTTATATAAAAAGATTTTTTTTTTTAGGCCTCCGGCCTTTTTTTCCTCTGCAATTTTTTTTTTTTTTTTTTTAATAAGTTTTTTTATATAGTATTTTTTTTTAAATATTTTTATAAGTTAATATTTAACTAACTTTTTTTTCTAT